ATATATAAAACATACACATATTACATACTAAGAAATCGTTTATTACTGAATCCTCGATCATGGGCTGCGAACAAACCTCCAATACTTGGCAGAAAGATTTCTACCATTGGAACATAAATAAAGATATTGTTAAAAATATATATTAATAGACATGGTAGATGTATTATAATTTTTATATTGTAGCTGAAATGTTAATACAAAAAGAAAAGTCATACCGGTGAGTTGTGCACATCCTCATCAATGTTATGATCTGCCTTCTCAAACGAATCAGCATTATCATCTTTATTTGTACGACCCTAATATAAATATATATATACCAAAATAAAAACATATATAGTTATAGATTATTAAAAGTATAAATTGCAAAAAAAAAAGTACAGTGGATTACTTATTATTCTGTGATTTTGTATACTCAACATATACATATAAATAAAAAGTTCAATGGTCTGAAAACATAAATCTAACCGATGAATTGTGCAAATTATCTTCAATGTTTTCTCCATCTTTTTTTGCACCAGCCTAACAGAAATATACCCAACAAACAAAAGCATATGCATTAAAAAAAAGCTTATATACGTGAAATATACTGAACATATACATATAAATAAAAAGTTCAATGGTCTGACAACATAAATCTCACCGATGAATTGTGCAAATTATCTTCGATGTTTTCTCCATCTTTTTTTGCACCAACCTAACAGAAATATACCCAACAAACAAAAGCATATGCATTAAAAAAAAGCTTATATACTTAAAATATACTAAACATATACACTTCAAAGAAGCAAAACAAAAAATTTGAGGTGCGTAAGAAAAAATTCTTAGAAGTGTATCAACTTATATACTCAACATATACACACGATGTATTCCTTTGGTAAATCTGGAGGTGTGTCATAAATGAAATATATATATATATACGGAGGCTTCTTTAAAAATCCCTCCTCTCTTTTCTAACTTCCCTGTCAGTCCCCCACTCTTTTTGTCTTCCAAATCACTACCTACCCTTCTAATATCTTTCCACTTAAATACCTCCTATTAAATTAATTCAAAAAGAATATTTCATATTACATCATCCCACTAACAATTCAACTTTTTCATTTTTTTATTATTTTTTCTCTCCACTACGAATTTTTTATTATTGTTTCTCTCCCCTTCTACACATTTTTTAATTATTATTTTTTCTCTCTTTCTACACAATTTTGATTATTTTTTTAATATTTATAAAATAAAAATATGAAATAAAATATGTAATATGCCCCTCATTTTAATTTATTCAAAATATTATGTAAAATTTAAACTATACAAAATTACATAAGATATGTCTATTTAAAATTAGTACACAACTCGTACGGTGTACATAACTGATAATAAATTACATTATATTTATTTCAAAATAAGTTTCATATTAAAAATTTTATTCTGAAATTCAATTTGAATACAATGTGGTTACATAAAAAAAAAAAAATGGTAAAACTTATCATATATTTAAAAATCTATGTGAATAATATGTATAATATTAAAACTTATATTTTTCAATAATTAAAATAATTTTATTTATCCTAATCAAAATAATTTAATAATTGAGAAACAATAAATAATAGACTATTTTATTTATGTCCAAGTTAATATTGACCAATAAATTATGAATAATTACTTATTTCTTTTTTAAATTTAAAAACTAAAATTGGACTACACAATAAAATCCCTTATGTATTTTACATAAATTTATATTTCACTAATCTCAGAATTTTTTAGGTTTGCTGTCGGTTACCTTGCCGTTCAAATTTATCAACTAATTCTCTTGAATTAAATTTTAGATTTTATTAAGAAATATTTATTCGAAGTTTTAAATTTTAAGAGGAATACATACCAATTTATTAAATTATCACCAATATCTTATGGAAAGTTATTTTATAAATATGCTAAAATTTGATAATCATATCACCTTAATTTTATAACAAATCAACCTAAATTTCGACTTTTATACTCGTACCAAATAAAATTCATATAACTTATTTATGTTCAAAATTTTCAAATACACTTCTATCCATATCATTTAAATTCGAACGTTTCATACCATAATAAAATCTCTCTCATTTTATTACATGCAATTATTTTGAAATGTCTAAAAAACAAATTTTATACTCTAATAGCTTACGCAACACGAATTTCTATTTACGCTACGTAGTATAAGAACCAAAACGCGACGAAAACATTAAAAATATTTTAAAACACTAAAAGAAATACAATTTCAATATGAGTGACCGTTAAAACGAGATTACATTATTTATCGAGAAATCTCGTATGACTTTTAAAAGAAAAAATAAATAAATACTATGATAGGATATTAACCAATTTAATGTGTGATATATCATGTAATCTATATGAATTTTGTACTATCAAAATTCATAATTTTATATTTTTCGTTAAATTCAAAAAATTATATTGAAAAAAATAAACATAATTCTATATTTTAAACTTTTTTTTAATTGAGATGCTTAAAATAATGAGTTGAAATTAATTAACGGAAATAATTGTATGCATCCTTAATTTCTTCTATTAATATTTATTTGAAATATATTTATTAATTAATATAATATTATAATTAATAATTAAAGTTAGGTAGGTTATAAATATTAACTAGTATTTGATCATGTGCACATGCACAGATGTTTAAAATTATATTTAGTTATATAATATTAAAATTATAATTATTTTGAATAATAGTATCACATTTTAAAAATTTTGACATTAGTCAAAATAAAGATCATAAAAGTATTAAACTTTATCACTGTTGATTGCATAAAATGAAATAAATAATTTAATATTTATAAATTGTCCTGACCTATTAATTATGTTAAAAGCTATTGAAATTGTTGTTGTTGTTGTTGTTGTTGTTGTTATTATTATGATTATTATTATTGTTATTATTATTATTATTATATTGCT